TTTACGACGCGATCACGTCTGGTTTCCCACCCGAACGAGGGAAACCAAGGACTTCCTGACCGCCCCGCCCCTCCTGGGTGGGTAGGGGTATGTTCTCTCCCGGGTTTTTCGCGGCGCCCATTCCCACCTGATTACCGGAGGTTACGCTGGGAGAGGAAAGGGGTGGTTCTGACGATCACTGCGCGGACGTCCGCGAGCATATGCCTAAACCGGCCGCGCACGCGCGCGGCCATGCGCGGTGAGTTTTACAATGCCCACCGTACAAGATAATAATGTTGGACGGGGAAGTAAAGTGCCCGCGTAGCACGGGCCGTCAGGCATTCCTAGATAACATAAACATAGGTGGTGCATGCTTCCTCCGATCGGCAATGCAAGCCCCCCCACGCGCGCGCGGCGAGTTCTACATCACAAGTGGCCCGCACTACAAAAGCAAACATGTCGGCTTGGAGACGCATGTTGACCTTCAGCAGCAACGGATGGGACTTCCAAATTCTTTACGCTTCGCGTATCCCCACCAGCCCATCTCACAACAGCAACTCTTGCGAAGCATGCCGACAGTCGTGTTTTTCAGGCGTGTATCCGCTTGGCCCCGCATATCTCCCCTGTTACTCCTTCCTCCCGCCTCCTTGTACATCCTCCTTGTGGGGGGAGCGGGAGAAGGACGAGGCGGAGGAGGAGGGAGAGAAAGCGCTCCTCGTGGTGTGAGTCGTTCGAGGCCCGCGTCGTGGTGTGAGTCGTTCGGGCTCCTCGTGGTGTGAGTCGTTCGGGCGCCTCGTCCTGGTGTGAGTCGTTCGGGCCCCTCCTTGTGGTGTGAGTCGTTCGGGCTCTTCGTGGTGCGAGTCGTTCGGGCCCCTCGTCCTGGTGTGAGTCGTTCGGGCTCCTCGTGGGGCCTCTTGGGGGCCTCTTGGAGGCTCTTGGGGCCTCTTGGGGGCCTCTTGGGGGCCTCTTGGGGGCCTGGGGGCCTCTTGGGGCCTCTTGGGGCCTCTTGGGGGCCTCTTGGGGGCCTCTTGGGGGCCTCTTGGGGCCTCTTGGGGGCCTCTTGGGGGCCTCTTGGAGGCCTCTTGGGAGCCTCCTGGGGGCCTCTTGGGGCCATCTTGGGGCCTCTTGCGACCTCCTCAGAAGCGCAAATGAACGCTGCCCCCTGAGAAGGACAAAATGACCCCAAAACCTTCGTAAAATCAATGATTTTGCTATGAAGGAAGAGGAGCGCTGCCCCCTCAGAAGGCCAAAATGGGGCCGAAACCGTAGTAAAATCAATGATTTGGGCTTCAAAGAAGAGGAGAGGGTTTTTTTTCCTCCCCCCCGTCGGGGCCAGAATCCTCGTGAGGGGTGTCGTTTTTTAGCATTCCCAGGAGTCGAAATTGACCCCCCTGACGACCCGCGGCCCCTCCTCTCCAGGCCCAGGGGGAGGGGGTAGGGGGAGGGGTAAACCCCTCCCCGAAGGGGAAGAAGGGGGGTTGAGGACAGAGAGAGCTCGCCAAACCACTCACGCCCAAAGGGCTGGTGGGATTAACGTAAGTTTTCGTGTGCGCGCTCTACGATGGGCAATGCAGATCTGCCACGCGCCTTCGCGCGCGCGCTCGAACGCCACGTGAGGGGTTCCGTGGCGCCCACAGCAAGAAAGTAATCATGCTGTTTTGGAAACTAGAACGGCAACTGAGCAGCGACCGATTGGGTCATCCTGCTCAAGTGGGTTCTGATGCATTTCTAGCATTGACAATAAATATGGCCAACCGTGCATACATGATGCACGTAGTCGTACGTTTGGGGAATACGGTTAAGACAATATGAATGATTCGCCTGACACGTTCTTCACGTTTTTCAGTTTGACCCTATGCCGATGCATATACCTATACCGCGCAAAAGAAAAGGCGCCACATGAACCTCGGGCCTCCACCCAAGAAGATCCAACCAATCGGTTGGACGCGATCATAACATGAGAGCACAGCTGGAATCAACGCGACGCAACTGATCGCAAGTGGAAGCAGCCCATATCAACGGGGCGCGAAACGATGCACTGGATCAGATGCGGTATATATATATATATATATACATACATACATACATAAACGCGTAAATGAAATTGAACAGACACAACGCCAAACGACGTATTCGGCCGATCAAACTGTCAATGCCCGAGGCAGACGCGGCCCGGGATTATGTCGCGCTCTGTGCTGTGGCGGAATATGTCGCGCATGTCCTTGACCTCCTTTCGCCGACGTGCTATCGAATTGCATGGCGCGATACGCGCGCCACGAAGCAATCGTAGACTTGCGCGTGGTATTCATGAACGCTCAACATGCATCAATTTTTCTGTGAAAAATTACACAGGGTACACGGAATAACCTCACCATCCTGTAACACTTGACCATATCACAATTATCAACTTATATGTTGCATGTACCGCGTTGTCATGTGCAGTTTGATTTCGGCACGAATCGAAATATCATAGGTGGCATATGCTAATGCGGTATACGGACCACGAGGAAACACAACGCACGATTAACCATTTGTCATGCTCATCAGATCTGTGCTCTACCATATTTATCAGATGGCATACGGTTAACACTAACCACAAGGAAGGGCTATTATACGTTCATGCCATGATACGCACAGTTACCAGCATGCACCCACAACTCATCTTACATGGTGACCCGAGCAAGATGCACGCACTACGCGCGCACTGCGCGCGTAGCGCGCGCGCGCCCATGCACGCGCGATGCGCGCGCTATGCGCGCGCTGCGCGCGTAGAATTTCCCAGCTTCGTTGGCAAAAGCTTCGCTGCGACATCATCGCGTGCATTATGCGTGCACTATGCGCGCCCTGTGCACGCGCCAGTGGTTGCCTCGCTGTTTGCTGCGCCACGCGTCAAGCGCACTACGCGCGCACTACGCGCGCGCTGCGCGCACAAGCATTTTCACGCGTTGTTTGCGCCATTCACGCACGCGCGCGCTGCGCGCGCCCTGCGCGCTCACTGCGCGCGCTAGTTCCCCCGCAGCTTCGCTCTAGCATCATTGCGTTCACCATGCGCGCCCCATGCGCGCACTGCGCGCGCGCTAAAACCTCCCGCGTTCCCCGAAGCGCATCCGCGCGCGCACTGCGCGCGCATTGCGCGCGCATCGTGCGCGCGTTGCGCGGGCGACAAAGCGCGGACAGCACGCGCGCACCCATGCGCGCGCTGCAAATGCGATGCAGATGATATCACTGTACGATCATACGAATGCTTAAAATGATGCATGTTCTGTGAACGCGTCGATATAATTTCCGAAAATGACATCTGCAATAATGGGCATTGCGCCATAATTTCAGCGCGCGCACGCAGCGGTTGAAGATCTCTTGCAGTTCGCGCGAAGCGCGCGCACTGAGCGCGCAAGGCGCGCGCAGCGCGCTCACGGGGCGCGCGCAGGGCGCGCAGGTGATGAACGCGTTCGCTGGATAAGTTGGCCTCGCGCCCGGCGGTCCCCGGGGCCCCTGGGCTCTTGCGTGGCAAGCGCCGAGCGGGCGGGCTGCTCGCGCCCGACCTGCGCCCAACTTGCGCCAGGCGCGCGGCCGACGGCGCCAGCCCGCGCGCCGGCCTGCGCTGGGGCGGCCTCGGCCCCCCCCAGCACGGCGCGCGCCCGGCGCAGGCGACCGTATGAAGACCGAATCCAGATTCCCGGTCAACATCACAAGCGAAACTAAAGCCTTGGCTGCGTGTATAAATACATAAGATTGTCAGAACAACCACATGTAAAGGTCGGTCGTGAAGTTGAATGACTATCACTTATCGAAGACGAAGCGCCCGCCAGAGGCACCCTTGCAAAAATGGGGCGCTGGAGCGCATGCCACTTGCGTTCCGGCGCCACGCGCCACGCAAATAAACGCAAATGTTCAAAGAATTTGCGCGTTCGACGCACCCTTGAAAGCAAGGCTCTCGCCTGGCACATCCTCGCGAGCACAAGTCTTGAAACGTCGATGATGCGCGTGGTTTACATGCGCGTGCGGCATGTTATGCGCACGATGTTGTGTCAACTATGTAAATATGCATCCCATATTTATATATACACATATGTATATGCACGTTATCCACGTGTGATATGTGATACATATATATATATATATATGTACAGATATAGATATAGATATGAGATGCGGCGCGTGATATGGAAGAGGAGGAGGAGAGGGGAGGTGGGCAACTTGGACAACGCCGCAGGCGATGAGCGCGACAGCGGAGGAAAGGGGGAGGACAGATAAGACTTACCCAGGAGAAGAGCCCAACCATACGCAATGTTGAATATCACGGTCGTGGGCACCCCATGCGGCGGAGCCCGCAATGCGACCGCGAAACGCATGATGGGCATGCCGAAACATGCGAAGGCCATGCCGGAACGTTCGAAGGTTACCTTATGCCGAGAGCAACGCGGCGCCGAAAAACATGAAGACATGAAAATGACGGCGACGAGGAATCTGATGAGGCCCTCGGCAGCCCTCGAAGACCGCAAGCACCGGCGCCAGGAGACCGCAGGAGGCTCCACGGGCGCCCCAAGATAACGACGAGAATGACGAGGAGGTCTGCCGTGAAAATGAAGGACCGCGCAAGAGCGCGCAGCTCGGCGTAGCCAGCATGGCATAACACTCGCAGTTCACCCCGCGCACGCGCGCGCCCAGGGCAAGAACCCCCTTTAAGTTCGCAGAGGACTGGGAGGGCCCCCCCCGAAGTGGGGCTGCAACAACGGAAAACAATGGTGGTTGAAGCGCCTTCTGCACCTGCGCCGACATGAAGTGCAAACTCAGGCGAGGCCCGGGGCGCCCGCGCCCCGGGGGCTGAGCACGCGCGCCCAAGGAGGGGGGGAGAAGGAGAGGGGCGGGGAAGAGGGAAGAGGAGGGAGGGCGAGGACTGTTGAGGGGGGGGGGATGAGGAGGAGGATTGCAGCATCTTGCCTGGAAAAACTCACCCTGCGGGGAGCGCCTGGTGCAATGATGTCAAGGTTCTGCCTTTCTGAATCTGTGAATCTCAACCTGCTGCGAGCCATTTTGCTAAACCTAGATCCGCGTTCGCTGGGGCCTCGTTGGACATTTTCCAATGGCGAAATTGGCGGCATCAAGCATGTCCTGTGAGGCAGCTATGAGCAGACACTTGATACGTCGCGGGTTGCAACTCACCTATGCACCCACCAAGGCCGCCGCTCGGTTTCAACATCTTCTGGCATTTCTATCCCGGCTTCCTGGCGAGCCAGCTCTCGATCAACCTCGGCGCGCCTGACGACGACGATGGCGACGCTGAGTTTGAGGCCGCCGCAGCTACGCGTGAAACTGTCACGTCGGTTTGCACGACTCCCTCGACGCTGGCAAGTGTCGTCTTGATGTGTTTGAGCTCTGCTTTTGCGCCCTTCACATCGTCGGGCTCGAACTCGCGCGCTGAATCATCCTCGGACTCATCCCCCCCGCCCTCCGCCATTCCAGGCGTCGGATATGGGGGCGTCGGCGCCGCGCCCTCCGGAATCGTTGTCCGAGGCCGTCGCCCCGCGGCCCCCCCCCCCCGGCTTTCCGACGCCCCAAGGCGGCCCAGGAGGCCCCTGAGACCATCCCGAGTTCCAAGAGAGCCCCAAAGAGGCATGATAGCGCCCCGAGACGGCCCGCGACGGGCGCCCAAGACGGCCCAAGAAGGCCCCAAGACGGCCCCACCATGGGCCCAAGAGAAGGAGCCCGATCCGAAAATCGGAAGCTTCCGCCCAGAAGGCCCCAGGAGGCGCCCAGAAAGCCCCAAGAGGCTCCCAAGCGGCCCCAAGAAGCCCTCGGGAGGGCCAAAAGAAGTTCCCAAACTTCCTCCAAGAAGACACCGAGAGGCCCCCCACGAGATGCAACCCGGGCTAGCCGAAGGCCACTGGATAGGCCCTTGGCCCTGCGCGCCATGGACCCATCGAAACAGATGGCACGTTCGCGGTATCTCCGCTCGCCAGAGCCGCCATAACCACCGAACTCCATAAAACAGATATACCCCGCCCAGTTCAGTCGCCGGCGCCTCCGCATGCATGATTCTTGCCTTGGTCAAGGCTTGTGGCCGATCGATGGAGACGCGGAGTTGCTGGCTTGAGCCCAAATTGCCGCGGGGAGGAAGATCGCAACGTTCCAATGCAATTCCCCATCGCGAAACTCGAAAAATCCGAATGCACAGCTCAAGTTTCAGGGCGGAGCTCGAAACGAAATTAAAGCTCATGGTGTGGCGCGAACATTGCCTCTGGCGAATCTCGGGGCCCCTTCTGGGGCAATCCGCCCCCCCCCCTCCCCGAGCCACTCCGAGGGCGTTTTTGGGGGGCATCTTGTCCCCCGGCGAGTTTCAGGGCGGGCCCTGGACTGCACTCGAGGCAATTTGCGCGGCGCCCTTTGCTTGCAGCGCGTCCCGGGGCCCACTCGGGGCCGTCGCGGCCGTCTCGCCGGGGCCGTCTGAAGCCCCCTGCCGGGGCGACCCGGCCCCGAGCGGACGCGGGAGAACCCGACGGGCGCCCGCGAGCGCTCCGAGCCAACCCCGGGAACGCCCGCGCCCCAAAACGCGCGGGGAGATCGTTAGGAAACAAGGGGCCGCAATCGGTTACTCCATCATCATCCTTTCTCCGATCGAACTCCTACCAGACGGCCGCGGGCGGGCGCGGGGCGCCCCCGATAGGGCCCCCAGATGACGCCGAGAAGGTCATCGGGCCCCCTGCGGAGGCCTCGAAACAGCCCCGGGGCAACCTCGAGAGGCGTGCCAAGGAGGCCCCAGAGGTGTCGAAATTAGGCCGCGCTCCCCGGATCAAGGCGACTCGCTTCGGGGTCGCATCTGCACGGGCCAACAAGGGCCCGGGCCCCACGCGCGAAATGCCTCGCATGGAATCGGCAAACGCCCGCGGGGTGGACAATCTCCGACGCAGACAGAACGGGGCCCTCCCGCGGCGTGGACACGCCGCCGCCGACTCCTCTTCACATGGGCTCGAGGTCGAGCCCAGTCGAGCTGAGGTGGAGAATGCGTGGGCGCATGTATTTGCGACGGAACGAGAATGAGTGGCTGCAAACGCACTGCCACTCGCAGGCAACCATGTAGTCTTCACTGCGCATTGACGCACTCGAGACCCACGTGCAAATTAAGCGAGGCCCCCGTCGCATCAAATCAGAGAACCGCGGCAACTACCTGCAGATTTCACAACTCCTCCATCGCATAAAATTAAGAGAACCGCGTGCGCTTCGACAAATGCTGCTCGCCTGATAGCACCCACCTGCCTCTGTCGCCCACGCGGGGCAATCCGACTCACTGTTGTCCACGTTTGGAATCGCGCAGATTTTGCGCGGTCTCCATTGCTTCAACCCCACAGAATAGTTCAAGCTATTGCACTTGACGCGGCGATAGCACTGACCTGTCAACGTCGTCCACGCAAGACGGCCCTTGATGTCCATGCAAGGAACAATCGGTGCGTCGGGTTCACCGTCATCCGGTCGCGGCGGTTCCTTAGCGGGCGCGATCGCATCTTCGCGGTCACTGCGCGAATTGGCGCGGCGACAGCGAAGCCACTGATTGTCGAGCCAGAGCAATGCAAGGTTTTCGAGCAGAAGATGCAACGGGCGCATCTCAAGGAACATTGCGCGCACAAAAAAGCTCGGCGCTCAGCGCGCGCGTCAAACTGGCCGCGGGCGCCGCGCATGCGGTCGCCGCCGCGTCGGCCCCCGATGGGGCCACGGAAAGTGCCGAGGGTGAACTAGAAAGGGCACGCACGGGCGCTGCCACTGGAGCTTTCGGCGGAGCTCCCCCTGCGGGCCCTCCTACTGGAGCCTCCGGTGAAGCCCCCTGCGGGGCCGCGAAGCGCGCGAGAGGCGTGGCAGCGTGCGATTGCCAGGGCGATGATGATGTCGGCGGCCATGGGTGATGGCGATGATGACTATGACGATGACGATGCCAACGACGACGATGACGATTATGATGGTAATGGTCGCTTATGCTGAAGAGGTTGCAAATGATGATGAGGATAAAGATGATGATGATGATGGTGATGATGAGGTGATAGCGGAATAGTGGCGATGGTGGTAGTGGTGATGGGGATGCGGATGGTGGTAGCGATGAGGATGGCGATGGCGATGATGCTGCTGATGATGCTGAAAATGGCACTGATGATGATGATGGCGCCGATGGCGATGACGACGATGACCGCGCCGCTGCTGCCGATTGCGACGACGGCGAGGACGCGCGGAAGGCAGCTGCAGGGACGGGGGAAAAGAACGCGCCGACAAGAGGAGGAGCGCGACAACGCGGGGCGCTACTGAGTCAGACCGCGGACCCACCACCAGAGCAAGGTGTCTTCCTCCTCTCCTTCGTCAATTTCGGCGCCGACGGGGGAACGAAGGTCGAGGGAATGCGCGGGCGCGCTCGGGCGCCCGGGAGCCCCGGGCGCCCCCGAGGCATCCGCGGAGAGGGGGGGGATGAAATGAAAGGCTGAAACTGAACCATAGGGCGACGGGGCGCCCATATGCGGCGAGCCTTTTGAGATTCCCCCTTCTACTGCGCTCTGGCTTTCTCCCTCCCCCCCCCTTCCTCCGCCGCTGCCCTCTGGCGGATGTGGGCCCGCGTCGTCTTGGACGTCGCGCGCGTCGCCCAAACGAAGCCGACGACCGACCTCGCCGTCTGGCCCGCAGGAAAACATTTGAATGATCGACGGGGGCAGGATCGAACTCCACGCGCCTGCAGTGTCGTCGACGCACTCCGCCCCGGAACGGGCGAGGGCGTCGAAGAAATACGTCTCGGTCGTCGAAGGGCGTCGAAGGGCGTCGAACGGGCGAGGGCGTCGAAGAGGGCGGAACGGGCGACGGCGTCGAAGGCCACGATCCGCTGACCGCATTTGGTAGATCTCTGAAATTGCAAACTCCAAGGGGAACCTGCGCCCCCATCCAGATCACGCCGCTGGGCGCTCGAATCGCCAGCGAGGTCGACGTGCAGTGCGACCGATCGGAGCGGCGCAAGCGTCTCGTTGGCAACCATGAAAAAACATACGGAATAGTGCGCAATGCCCCGCCGCCACCAGAACGCACGCCGAGCAGACGCCAGCTCGCTTGCGGATGTGATTGGCCATCTTGATCGCGAGAGGGTAACTAGTGCGCTGTTTGAAGATCCACCAAGGGCAAGCATTGCGTCGCTGCGTGTTCTTGAAATTCAAAGAACCTTACTCGCCCATCACCGCGTTGCATCTGTTGTTTTCCACTGATCCATCTTGTCTCCGAACTCGCGAGAGAAGCCGGGCTCGCGCATCAAGTCTGGCGCGAACGCGTGGAAAACGCCCCCCCGCCTCCCACGCGAAGAACTTCAGACCAAAGGGACTGTCGAGCGACGCGCTAACTGAGAGCGGGAACTGCTCGACGGTCAGCCAACGACAACGCCGCGACATTCAATGCGAACGGCGCGCTGCTGCCATGCTCATTGGCCCGGCGTTTCTTCGTGCTGGCGCGCGGCCAATGCCCGAAATCATTGTGGGCATTCGCGCGCACGGGCCACGGCAAAAACCAATGGGCGCGTCGGCCCTTGGCGGCGCTGGCAAGATCCCCGCGCGGCGCCCGGGGCCCGCCCCGCACGGGCGCGCGTCGAAAAGTTTAGGTCCACCCCAAAAACAAAGTTTAGGCAACAGGCGAAAAACAATTAGCCTGACGAATAACCCAAACATATGCAGGTGTGAGTACCGCAATCGTGATTCACTTTTTCGGTGGTGATCCCTATGAGGCAACGAACCGTGCTAGGGGTGTGCCGAAATGAGCGGCGTGGTACACAACGCGAACGAAAACGAACAACACAATGCAGACTGCGCCACGGGGAGCTTCGGTGGGGGTCCATATGGGGCCACGAAACGCTGTACTGGGTGAGGGATACGCGTGCGGACTGCGCCACGGGGACCTTCGGTGGAGTTCCCTATGGGGCCACGAAACGTGTGAAGGGGTGTGCCGACATGAATGGCGGGGACGCATGCGGACTGTGCCACTGGGACCTTCGGCGGAGCTCCTATGGGGCCACGAAACGTGTGAGGGGTGTGCCGACATGAATGGCGGGCACGCGTGCGAACTGTGCCACTGGGACCTTCGGCGGAGCTCCTATGGGGCCACGAAAGCAGGGCGGCGTGGCCGGCTTGCGGAGGCGAGGTCGGGCCGGCACTCTGGGCGCGGCCCCCTGGTCCTCCTCGGGCACCGTGCCGGTCCGGCATCTCCGAGCCGCGCCCAGATCGCAACAAAGCCGACTTCGCATCCGCCATCCTTTGTTTGGCTGAATTCCCGACTTGCACAGGTGTCGGGACCCCACGCGGTTCAAGCAAGTAGGGCAGTCATTTCCGCCCCAAGAGAAGAAAGGGGCACTGTTAAAGAACAACGGGAACAACGACGGCAAGGCAGGCTTGACGTCGGCGTCAAAGATGCATGACAAGTAATTAAGGCGTAAATCTCCGCCCTGCTTGCGGAATCACCCAGAGAGCATATGACAGCATGGCGGATCCGAAGTCCGGGGAGCCGCGTGACGCGGCGTGGCCAGCCTGCAAAGGCGAGGTCGGGCCAGAACCGGCCGTGGCCCCCGATCCTCCTCTCGGAGAGCGCCTGCCAGATCCTCCTCCTCCTCCTCCTCCTCGTGCCTTCTCCATCCCCTTCCCTCATGAGCACCTCCTCCCTCGGCCAGAGCGGCGAGGCTGGATCCGGAGAGCGCCTGCCACTCTGCCCTGACTTCGGATCCGCCGTCTTTGGGGCGATTTCAGGCTTCTTTGGTGTCGATGTCCGCCCGACTTTGTTGTCGCTGTTGCCGCCGCGCCTTTGCTGAAACGTCCGCCTGGCGTGGTCTCAGGTGGAAAGATCCTCCCCATTGTTTTAGGGGGCAAACGAACCTACCTCGTTTTTGACCAACCTCGCTTCCAAGAACTACCAAGCGATGCCAAACTACGGCACGCACTGGTCAGGCCTCTCGACGGGGAGGCACGTAATATGACTTGGTTTTGCCTGGAAGCGCAAGCGGGGTAGGTGATTCACGCTCTGATGTTTCGCAGCGTTCGCGGTGCGTGTCCGACACAAGCCCCAGGCGGAAAGTCCACCAAACTT